ATGACATCTTTGTACACAGGACCCCGCATGGTCTGTTGCTAACAGCAATATGTTTCCATTCCTTACAGGTGGCCTCAGACGTCTCGGAGAACGGTACGTATTGGGGCCCTCCTCAGTGGGGATGAATATTTCACATGATGAGGAACGTGGCACTGTCTCACTCACTTTTTTGTAGACAGAAAGCCTGAATTGAGCTTCCTGTTGTCAATGAGAGGAATATTTTTTTCAGATAAGGAGCGATGGCCACATTCTTCAGTCCCTGGGAGCAGCTCTGTGTTCTGTATGTGGGATGGAGTTGTGTGCACAGGGCTGGCATGCATCTGTGTGAATGCATATGCTGTGGTGCTCAGTGTGCCTTGGTGTGTGGGTGGAAGTTATCACTGAAACTGTAATCTTGGCTGGGTGTGGTGGCTTATGCCTGTAATCCCAGCACTTTGGGAGCGCCAGGCGGGTGGATCACGAGGTTAGGGGTTTGAGAGTATCCTGGTCAACACAGTGAAACCTGTCTCCACTAAAAAATACCAGAAATTAGCTGAGTGTGGTGGTGAGTGCCTGTAATCTCAGCTACTTGGGAGGCTGAGGCAGGAGAATAGCTTGAACCCAGGAGGTGGAGGTTGCAGTGACCCAAGATTGGGCCACTGCACTCCAGGCTGGGTGACAGTGCCAGACTCGGTCTCAAAAAAAAAAAAAAAAAAGAAAGAAAGAAAGAAAGCATAATTTTACAAAGAATGCAGCTGATTCCACGCCAAGGACACTTTAGCTAACCTAAAGGAAATCCTGCCAACACCCGGGCAAATGTTCACTGGGTAGTAATAGAGCAAAACTGTTTCCAGTATCTCTGCCAATTCATTTGTTTTCATTGGGAATCCGCTTCTAAACCTCATTTTCTAATAAACTTCATCTGATAGCAGGCCTTCCTATTTCCTCCTGCCATTGGAGTGGTCATGACACCTCAGTGTTTCCAGTTCCCTCCTTCACAAGCCTTTTTTACTAAAGCCCTCAGAATTGATCCTCCACCGCCCATCTATGCGTCGCTGTAACGGGACCCTAGGGAAAGCCCCTTGCCCCACTGCGTTAATTAGCAGGTGAGCCTGTGGTTGTCAGCACATGAATAAAGGGGTCCTGCCAGGTTTTGCCTGAGCTGTGGGACAATTGGGTGGAAGGGCCCCTGGCAGGCATCTATGCTTATTTATATTTAATTTAAATTAATTTCAAGAAATAAAAGTAAAAAGTTCAGAACCTCCTCTCGTGCCATGCTTCAAGTACTCAGTATCCCAATGCTCACACTGCAGAGAGAATTGCCATCCTGTCAGAATGTTCTCTGGGCCAGCTGTCATGAGCCTGTCCCAGGTTCTGGTCACTGCACTCACCTAACTCAACACGTGTGCCTCTATGTTGGAAATTCAGGGTTCTCAGGGTGGAGCTGACAGCCATAATGGGCCAGTGGAGGTGAATGTGTGAAGGGGGACTTTTTCAGGTTTTCTGTCTCATCTGAAGGCTCCCAGCTGAGTCCACAGAGCCCAGGGAGAGTCTGAGACCACAGAGGATGGAGCAGGGCACCTGGTGTCACCCTGTGTGACTGTGTGTGGAGCAGGAGTGCTGTTCCAGTCATTCTGAAGTCACCCTTCTCTGATGTTTGTGTCTCTGTAGAGAGCTCTGAGGACAGCTTTCCTGAAACCAGTGATGACAAAGACTCTGCCAGTAGCGGAGACACTCCAGGTGGGGCTGGGGCACAGGGTTCTTGGGGGCAGCTGGGTTCCACCTGCGGTTTCTGCGCCTTGGCTGGGAGCTGCGAAGTCAGTGAATATAAAAGGAAGTAGGTGTAGAGCTGGGGTTTGTTCTCTCTGCACGTTAATGAGAAATGGAAGTTTTGTTTCCATGGACGTCATGTATGCTCTGCTCATCCCCATGATTCCTTCCCCCGTGAGCAAGATGACCTTTTCCAGAAGGCCAGATCTCTCCTGCCCGTGCCACAGCAAACACCAAAGCCCTGGGTTTTGGGTGTGTGTGTGTGTTGGGTGAGCGAGTAGTGTCCTTTGTGAATGGAGAACAAGAGATGAGTATGTGGGTGTGGCATTGAGTCTGTATGGGGAGTGAGGTGGGACACAGCCCCTCACAGCTGCTGTGTGACCCAGGACACAAAGTCCTTCACACGTGGGCCAGGAGGTGGCAGGAGCCCACCCTCTCCCTCTGCACTCTGGGGACTGCAGCAGCACCTTCCTGTCCAGCCCTCAGGATCTGCTCCTGGTCACAGGGCACTCCCTGGGTCTCCTGAGGTAGAGAATCCTCCTCCGGGATTACTGTGTGCCCCCATCCTAGAGACCCAAGGGGGGATCCCCTGATCGAGCATGGCTCTGGCCTCCACTTCTCACCCAGTCCCAAATTCTTGAGCTAGGAATGGAAGCTGAATTGGTTTTGAGAATTCAGTGTCCAGCTGTCACCGAGGCCCTCTGTGGCCAACAGGAATCCTACAGTGTGTGTGGAGTGGCTGTGTGTTGCTGCAGGCTCACACCCTCCTTATAACCTGGTTCCTGGAATCCACTGGGCCCAGGATGGAGCCGCAGGGCAGCTGGCACCGGGGTCACTTGTCTTGTCACACCCTCCACTCTGGCCTGACAGCCTTGTCCTGAGCCCCATGCTGCAGTCAGGCCCAGCTTGTTCCCTGTGTCAGGCCTGCCAGGTGCCCTCCTGCCCAGTCCTCCCACAGCTCAGGCAAAACCTGGCAGGGCCCGTTCATTCATGTGCTGACAACCGCAGCCTCACCTGAGGATTAAGGCAGTGAGTGGCACAAGGAGCTTTCCCTAGAGTCCCATTACAGCGTTTCTAAGCTTTCAGAAGCTTGTGGGATTCTTGTGAGGGTTGAGTATTTTCCAGGTCCCTAAGGTCATCCCAGGCGTACAGCAGTCACTCAATCTGTGTCATCAGTTGTAATCGTGTCCCACAGGCCTCAACTGAGCCCCAGGTCTGTGGCAGGTGCTGACCACCTAGGGTGCGACCCATGGGTTTATGGAGGGCCTGGCAGTGCAGCCCTGCCCTTCCCTCCTGTGTTTTTTTGTTGGAGAGCAGTGGGATTGGTGATCAACAGGGAGAAAAGACGTGGGATTCATCAGAAGAGCAGAGACAGGCCCTAAAGGGGGAGGAGGGAGGGAATCACATGCTGTGCACAACGTCCTGGAGATGGTGGCCACCTCTTGGAGGAATGGGATGACACAGCCTTGGCCTTCCCTGCCTGGGCACAGTTACAGGAATGTGAGGGCTGGAAAAGTGTGTGGGAAGACAGAGGCTCCTCCCTCGCTGTAGGAAGTGATCCAGGCTGCGGAGAAGGTTCTGGAGATGAGCCTGTGGGGTTGGCTCCGCAGCCTCAGGACGGCATGGCCCAAGTGCCTCCTCGACTCTCACTCTCCCCTTTCCTTCCCATGGCCGCCCCATCACCACTGCTGCTCCCAACACCCTGAAGCTGCTGGAGCAGATATGGAAGAGTCCAAGAGTGCAGACGACCATCAGCGTGTAATTATCTCCTTCCTCTCCTCTCTCACCCCTGACTCATGAGCTCCTCTAGCTCTGGCCCTCTCCCTCTTCCCGTCTCTTATCATCCTCCTGAGGGACGTGGTCTCATCATGGCAGTCAATGTTCTGGGTCTTCAGTGCCTGTAAAGTCCCTCTGCAGCCCTCCTGCCCACGGTCTTGGCCTTGCCCTGACTCCTGGCCCCCAGGCTGCAGCGCTGAATCCTGTTGAGCAACTCCACAGGGTCCAGGCAGGAAGCCGGGCTGGGGTCAGAAGAGCCTGGCCCCACCCTACTGGGGGGATTCCCAGTGATGTCTGGGTCTGCTCTGGGGACCACCCCCTAAAGCTGCACTGGGGACTCTGGACATGCACAGTTGTTTTCTTCCTCTCAGATGCCAACAAGTCCTCTCCAGGCACCTGTGGAAAAGGCAATACAGACAAAGCCTGAACGGGCAGAAGAAATGTGAATGTGCAGGGGCGGCATGACCGGGGAAGGCAAACAGTGCCCGTGTCCCCGTGTCTGCCCCATTCTCTTGCTATCCCATCAGGACACCCGGCGAGTTCAAGGAGGTTGAGGATGCTGAGAAGCCTCACCTGACCTGTTGTGGCCTTTGTCTGTTATGCTGGAAATCCCTACAGGCAAGTGAAGGATGCCCAGAGAACATCCTCCAGGGAACACACCCTCTCCATAGCAGCCCGTGAGCCTGCTGGGCTGAGCCCTCCACAGGCTGCTCTAATGAGGGAGAGGCTGAGGTGCTGGTCAGGCTACCATGTGCAGGATTCCAAGGCCATGCACCGTGTTCTTGTCTGCAGTGCCACTGAACCTCATTTGAGGGGACCCAGCTCTGCCCTCCCGGCCCTCCAAAGCCCACAGGGAGCATCACCAGTTCATCATGAGCAGACATTGGGGTTGACCATGAACCCCCATGTTTCATGCCTCCTGGGAAAGCTGTGAGAGGGAGGGAGGCACCCC